CCCCCCCGGCCCCCCAGCGCTGCCAGCCCAACCACCGAGGTGAGGGGGGTCCCGTGGGGTACCCCCGCCTTTGGGGGGCCCGGGAGCCCCTCTAACCCCCCCCACCCCCCTTCGTGCAGGGTCCGGGAACGATTCCGAGAGCAACGACGAGTCCATCCCGGAGCTGGAGGAGCCCGAGGGCTCGGAGCTGCCCCCTGCCCAGCCCCAGGTGGGGTTTGGGGGGCTCGGGGGCGGCGGGGACCCCCGGGGTGTGGGGGCCCCGCTGACCCCCGTGTCGCAGGTGCCCCTCGGGCCCGGAGAGGAGCCGCTGAGCAAAGCCAAGCAGAGCCGCAGCGAGAAGAAGGCCCGCAAGGTGGGGGTCCCTGGGGGTGCCCCTCAGGGCTGGGGTCCCACCCCAGGGCTTGGGGAGGGGGGTCACTCCTGGGGTGCTGGAGGGGCAGCCCTCACTCTGGGGTGGGACTCGGGGGGTCCCCACCGTGGGCGGGGGGCCCGTCCCGGCCACGCTGAGGGACACCATCCCCACCTGTGGCTCCCTGCTGCCCCGGGGTTTGGGGTGCTCCGGGGGGCTGTGTCCCCCCGGCTGCTGTGCCCGGGGGCGGGGGCTCACTCGGTGCCCCCCAGGCCATGTCCAAGCTGGGGCTGCGGCAGATCCACGGCGTCACCCGCATCACCATCCGCAAGTCCAAGAACATCCTGTTCGTCATCTCCAAACCCGACGTCTTCAAGAGCCCCGCGTCCGACATCTACATCGTCTTTGGGGAGGCCAAGGTGGGCTCGGGGGGCTCTGGGGGGCGGCTCCTGGCTCGGGGGGGCTCTGGTGACCCCGAGTTTCCCCCAGATCGAGGACCTGTCCCAGCAAGTGCACAAGGCAGCGGCTGAGAAGTTCAAGGTGCCCCTGGAGCACTCGGCGCTCGTGACCGACGCCGCTCCCGCCCTGGCCATCAAGGAGGAGAGCGAGGAGGAGGAGGAGGCGAGTGCTGGGGGGCTCCGAGCCCCCCCCGGGGGTGCCGTGGGGGGTGACAGCGCCGTGAGCCCCGGGGGGACGGGACGGGACGGGGGTGCAGATGTTCAGCTGGGGCTGGGAGGGGTGCAGGGGGTCTGTGCTGCTCAGGGCTGGGTGTGTGCCACGGGGGGGTCTCACAGCGCCGTGCCCCCCCCCAGGTGGATGAGACGGGGCTGGAGGTGCGGGACATCGAGCTGGTGATGGCCCAGGCCAACGTGTCCCGGCCCAAGGCCGTGCGGGCCCTGCGGCACAACAACAACGACATCGTCAACGCCATCATGGTGAGTGGGCTGAGCCCCCCTTGTCCCGGGGGGCACTGGGGCTGTGACCCCCCCCTTGTCCCGGGGGGCACTGGGGCTGTGACCCCCGCCTTTTCCCGGGGGGCACTGGGGCTGTGACCCCCCCTTTTCCCGGGGGGCACTGGGGCTGTGACCCCCCCCCTTTTCCCGGGGGGCACTGGGGCTGTGACCCCCCCCCTTTCCCGGGGAGAACTGGGGCTGAGTCCCCCCACCTTTTCCCAGGGGGAATTTGGGCTGAGTCCCCCCACCTTTTCCCAGGGGGAATTTGGGCTGAGTCCCCCCCCCTTTTCCCAGGGGGAATTTGGGCTGAGACCCCCTCCGACCCCCTCCCTCACTCCCCTTTTCCCAGCAGGAACTGGGGCTGAGACCCCCCCCTTTTCTTGGGGGAACTGGGACTGAGCCCCCTGGTTTTCGCAGGGAGAATTGGGGCTGAACCCTTCATTTTCCCAGTGGGAATTGGGGCTGAGACCCCCTTCCCCATCCCTTTTCCTGGGGGAACTGGGGCTGAGACCCCTCCTTTTCCCAGCAGGAACTGGGGGTGACCCCAGGATTCCTGACTCTGCTCTCTCCCACAGGAACTGACCATGTAGCAGCTGGGGGTGTCCTGGCCCCCTGTATAGATGCACAGACCCCCCAGACCCTTCCTCCTGCCCCCCATCCTCCTCCTGGCCCCTGGACTGCTCAATAAAGGCCTCCTGCACCCCTTGGATCGCACCTCGCCTCCCAGGCCTGATTTTGGGACTTTGGGGAGCCCCTTTTCCAGCAGTGGGATGGGGGGGCGTCACCTGGGGGTGTAACGCGGATGGGGGAGGTGGAAGGACAGGTTCTGGGGGAAGGGCAGCACCCCAGGGTGCTCCCAGCATTACTGGGGGTCAGGGACACCCCCTCCCCTCCCCTCCAGATTTGGGGTGTGGCAGAGAGCTGGGGTGGGAGTGAAGTCCCTGAGCTCCAAGGGCTGGGGACGGAGGGAACTCTTGGTCCCCAAATCCCGGTGTCTCAGGGACCTCTCCTGCTCTCCACCTTCTTGGTGTTGGGAGGGGAAAGGCTGCAGGAGGGGACACTGTGTCCCCCAGGTGAGTCCCCAGAGGTGCCTCAGCTCCTGGGACACCCGAATTCCAGATGGAGGAGGGGTTGGGATACCCCTGAGAAGGGTGGGGGGGGTCACCAGTGGGGTTAATGCTGTGGGGGGACACCCCAGTGTGGGCAGGGTGAAGGGGGCAGAGCTGGGTGCAGAGAGGATTTGGGGGCACTGGGGGGGATTTGGGGCCGAGGCCTCTGGAATGTGCTGGATCCCCAAAGTGCTGAGTCAGCATCTGGCTCCAGAGGGGGAGGAGACAGAGCCCCTGGGCGTGGCTGTGGGGTAATGGGACCCTCCCAGGCCCCGCTGGGGACCCACTCGGGGAGGGAGACCCCCAGGGCAGGCAGATAAAAAGAAATTTCCATTTTAAAAGAAATTTGCGACATCTGGGGGTCCCACCAAGCTCCTGTCCCCAGCAGGACCCTGGGCTGGGTGAGGAGGGGGGCAGCTGGAATGTTCAGGAATGTTCCAATACCATGAGAGGGTGAAAAAAATTCACATTGTGGTAGAACTTCATTTGGGGGGGCAGTTCTGGGGGACCCAGCTGTGCAAACTGTAAACTGGGGGAGGGGAGCAGATCCAGCCCCTTGGGAATAGATCCAACACTCATGGCATCCCTCAGGAGCAGATGGGGACGGTCAGGAGCAGATCTGGGAGGAGATCTGCCCCCAAAATCCAAACCCAGGTCTGTTCCCCTGAGTCCCAGCTGGAGCCCCTGGAGCTGTCAGTGAGGCTGGGGCAGTGCAGACACCCTGCTGGAGCCCCCAGATCCCACACGAGGGCTCTGGGGTCCCTCCAAGGGCAGCTCCACGTTCCAGGACCTCCATGAGGGCACAGGCTGGTGTTCTTGGGCCCCTCTGAGGGCAGATCCATGGTTCATGTCCCCTCCAGGGGCAGCTCTGTGTCCTGGAACCCCCAGAGGCAGCTCCCTGTTCTGGGGTCCCTCCAGGGGCAGCTCCATGTCCCAGGATCACCCTGGGACCAGCTCCAGGCTCCAAGTCCCCACGGGGGGCAGCCCCAGGTCCCCCCGGGGTGACTCTGTGTCCGGGGGTGTCCCTGTGTCCTGGGGTCCCCCCGGGGTGACTCTGTGTCCGGGGGTGACTGTGTCTCTGTGTCCTGGGGTCCCCCCGGGGGCAGCCCCGCGTTCCCGGCGGGAGCAGCCGCGGCTCCGGGGCTCCCTCAGGACGAGTCCCGGTCCAGGCTGCAGCCCAGGGCCTCGATGTCGCTGCTGATGTGGGAGATCATCCTGTCCCACTCGTCCTCCTCGGAGGGCACGGACTGCTCGTCGGAGCTGCCGGCGGCGCCGGTGCCGTTGGCGGCGGAGGCGGCGCCCAGCGAGCGGCGGTAGCGGCCGAAGCTGTCGGTGATGATGCCGCGGCCGTCCTTGACCCCGATGGTCTCCAGGAAGTTCTCGAAGTGCTGGCTGTCCTTCTCGGGGATGAAGGGACGCAGGCCTGGAGCCGGGACACGGCAGGGACACGGTGAGTGCCGGGACAGGCATCCAGGGATTCCAAACCTGGGTCATTCCCGAACCTGGGAGCCTCCGGGTGCCCCATCCATCCACACCCGAGACTGCAGCCACTGCTCACTGAGGGCAAAACCCAGCTCAAGTGGGATTTTCTGAGCTCCAAATCATCTAATTCCTCACCTGGCATCTTGCTGGGCTTTGCTGAGCTTATCCCAATAATTGGTCCCATCAGGGACATCTGTCCTGTCCCCTCAGTGTCCCCACGTGAGACACACTACTCCTGTTCTGTGGGCATTTTAAATTCGTGTCTTCTTTCCCTTGGATGTGAGAGGCCCCAGGTGCAGTCAGACACTGCTCCTGCTCTGGGAGGATTTCCTAGGATATCAGAGGCCAGGTTGTTTAAGTATCCCTGGCCTGGAGATTTCCAGGTCTGAATTAAATTCCCTGGCTCTGGAGGAGGTTTCCAGCTTTGGGAGAAAGTCTCGGCTCTGGAGGAGGTTCCCAGGTCTGAAGGAAGTTCCCAGGTGCTTCACAGGCAGGTGGGAGCAGGAACAGCTCAGAGGGGAGCCTGAAGCCCTGGGATGAGCTGGGCTGGATGGCCCAGCTGCCCTCAGGAATGAGCCATCTCCACAGGAGATGGATTGGGACATTTCTGCTCTGGTGGTGGCACCCCAAGGCCCCCTGCACCCCACCCCCTCGCCCCTGAGCTCTGGCTCCTGGCTCGGGAGCCACCCCACACTCACCCAGGAGCAGGAATTTCCTGCTGTCCCCGTAGAGCTGCTTGAGGTTGATGCAGAACTCGTGGATGGAGGCCCCGTTGCGGTACTCGTGCAGCAGCATGGCGAACTGCTGGATCTCCTGCGAGGACAGCTTCGTGCGCAGCTGCGGGGACACACGGCCCTCGTGGCACCGCCGGGGGCCGGGACCTCGGCAAGGGCAGAGGGAGCCCAGGAACCCCGGGGAAAGCAGGGCTGAGCTGTGGGGTCGCTGGGATTGGGACTCGTGGAGCCTTGGGGAACGAGGGGCGTTGGATGCAGGGAAAGTGGGGGGAGGCTCCTGTGGGAGAGGCAGAGGCCAGAGGAGGCCCCGGAGCTGCTGCAGGGCTGGAGCCAGGCTGGGAGAGCTGGGAATGTTCCCCTGGAGAGGAGAAGGCTCCAGGGAGAGCTCAGAGCCCTGCCAGGGCCTGGAGGGGCTCCAGGAGAGCTGGAGAGGGACTGGGACACAGGGAATGGCTTCCCACTGGAAAAGTGGGAATTTAAATTGGATACTGGGATGAAATTCTTGGCTGACAGGGTAGTGAGGGACTGGAATGGATTTCCCAGAGAAGCTGTGGCTGCCCCTGGATCCATGGAAGTGCCCCAGGCCAGGTTGGATGGATGGGGCTTGGAGCAGCCTGGGCTAGTGGAGGGTGTCCCTGCCATGGCAGGGGTGGGATGGGATCATCCTTCCAGCCCCTTCCCACCCAAACCATCCACGATTCCATGACACGAGCCCACGAGCAGGCCCTCCAAGCCCAGTCTGGCTGGGAAGGACGAGCACGAGCTGCTCCTCCACCCCTGTCCCTCCCCCTGATCCCAATCCCCAATCCCACCGTCATCATGTAGTCCTGGAGCAGCTCGGTGGCCGTGGTGCTGAGCTCGCTCTCGCTGGCCGTGGTGACGTGTGGGGACGGGCGTGCCGAGAAGGAGGACGGGGACGTGTCCCCTGCCTCCAGCGTGTCTGCAAAGGAACTGACACCGGCACGGGTCAGCTCTCCACGGCTCCCTGGGGTGCCCGGGGACGTGCTGCTGCCATTTTGGGTGGCTTGTGTGGGACCGGGAGTTGGGCTCTGTTCCTTGGGGTGCCTCCCAACCCAGGATATTCCGTGATTCTGGAAGCCCCAGCTCCTGAGGGCACCCCAAGGCTCCCAGGGAACTGAACCCTCTGTGGGGAATTATCCCTCTGGCTGCTTCCTCGTTGGGAGCAACACCGGGAAAAATCCCCACGCTCCCTACCTTGGGTTTAAATGTGCATTTTTCAATAATGCTCCTAATTCCTAATTCCATGTTAAACATTCAGGGGATATCCCTCTATGTTGGCTATTCCAAGAGCATCCCTCTATGTTAACCAATGGTTTGTGTGTGAGGATTTCGTCCCACAAACACTGCTGATGTTTCCAGGAGGGAGGAGTTTCCCAAATGACAAGTTCCTGGGGAGAACCCTGCTCCCAGCTGCAGCTGGTGACCCTGCACCGTGCTGACACAGGGACTGCTCGCTGCGGACATGACTCCTGGAATGCTGAGGGCAGAACAATCCAGGCCTGGACAGGATCAGTGCCAGCCCCCCCGAGGCCTGGCCGGGCTCAGCCGAGCTTCCCGGGGTGCTGATGGCAGCAGATCCGGGTTAATCCCGGCTCCAGGGGCCGAGCATCACTCACAAAGTGCTGGCATCCGCCTCGAAGGGCTCCTTCACGTCCACTTTGGTGGAAGAGTCATCTGCAGGGAAAAAATGTGGGAGATGGAATGTGAGAGGCACAAACTCGGTGTCTTCCCAAGCCAGAAGGGACACAAAGTGATTCCTGACTCGGCTGGAAGGGAAGAGGCTGGGAATGAGTGACCAGGTAAGAGGAAATGGCCTCAGGTTGTGCCAGGGGAGGTTCAGGTTGGATCTCAGAAAGATTCCTTCATGGAAAGGGCAGTCAGGCATTGGAACAGGATGCCCAGGGAGGGGTGGAGTCCCACCCTGTGGATGTGGCACTGGGGACATGGTCAGTGGTGGCTTTGGCAGTGCTGGGGGCTGGGTGGGCTCAGGGGTTCCTGAGGCTTTCCCAGCCCCAAGCACTCCCGGCTGTGGCTGTGTGTGTCCCCAGGGGGGGGCTGGGGGGTTCCTGAGGCTTTCCCAGCCCCAAGCACTCCCGGCTGTGGCTGTGTGTGGCCCCAGCAGGGGCTGGGGGCGGGAGCAGCCCCAGCAGCAGGACACACGCACCGCTGTGCAGGGACAGGTGCCGCGTCGGTGTCGAGGCGCCGTCGAAGATGGCGCGGTCCAGGAAGTCGATGGTGGACTCGGTGTAAACGATCTGGAAGACCTGGCTGAGCAGGGAGCACAGCTCCTCGGCACCCACCTGGGAACGAGCAGGGAGCTGTGGCACAGCCCACGCAGGGACAGCCCCCTCTCCCTTTGGCTCTGCAGGATGGGCGTTGGCCCCCACGGGGACAGGCAAGGCACGGAGCCCAGGTCCGTCATCCTCCCAGCATTCCTGCCCTCTTCCAGCCAGCAGCAGGAGCTGGGATGCTCCAGCATCAACCCAGGAGCCCCCCACATTCTGTGCTGAGGCTCCTCCATGCAGCTCCCTGGGATTTGGCTCATCCCAGAGGAATGCCAGAGCTGGGAATGAGGGGAGTGAAACTCCACCCTCAGAGGAGATCAGAGAGGCTGAGACTGGAATCCCTGGATCCAGACACTGGATGAAACAAATTCCCAGGTCAGCACAGGGAAAACCTGATCAGCAAAACCCCATTGTGGGATTGGCCTCGTGGACTCTGTGCTGCTGCAGAAGGCTCTGGGCGACAGGGACCAAGGGAAACACTTCTGGAGACCCTCTTGTGTCCCAGGGTTGGGAGAGGGATCAGGAGTCCTTCTCCAAGTGCTCCAGCAATGCCCAACCACACCTGGCATCCCTAAATCAGTGTCCCACGAGGTGTGAGAGCAGAGAAGGATCCAGACACACCACAGCACTCAGCCACTGTGGAGTTTGTGGCTCCACCATCACCACGATCCGAGAGCCAGAAACCTCCCAGCACTCCAGTGACTCTGAGCCCCGGCTGGGCGCTCCAGGGCTCCACGGAGCAGTGGCAGCCATACCTTGTTCTCCGTGGCCAGGACCACCAGGCAGCAGCACTCCAGGGGCCCGCCCGCGCTCTCCGACAGCGAGCCCGACGTCAGCGCCTTGGAGCCCTCGGCACACAGGCTCTGGCTCGGAGAGATCCCGGGATCCTGAGCTGAGGGGAGACGAGAGGTGAGGGAAGGGCAGGGCAAGAAGGAGATGGAAGGAGTCCTGCAGCTGAGGAAGAGACCTGAAGCAGAATGGGATGAAAAGCTTCCAATTTGGAGCTGGTTTTGGCAGTTGTCTGGCTGTTTTCACAGCTCAGAATTCCATCACCAGATTTCCAGACCCTTTATTCCTTTGTTCCACAGCCTATCCTTGGGGTTTGTACTCAGATAAATCCCTGGCTCAGCCCACCCCAGCTCCCTGTTCCCAAACCATGCAAGTGTGACGTGCACAGAGCTGCACAGGACAAGGAACGAGGTGTCACGGAACCCTCATGGAATGCTTTGGGTTGGAGAGACCTTCAAGACCCTCCAGTCCCACCCCCTGCCACGGGCAGGGACATCTCCCACTGTCCCAGGTGGGCTCAGGGGGACAATCCCAGCTCCATGGCCACAGCTCACCTGTCTTGAGCACAACCAGGTGTGCGGAGTCGTCCCGGATGTAGGAGACGGAGGCGATGTCGTGGATGGGCACCCTGAGGATCAGGTCCTCCCCGTCCCTCCACACCAGTTTGATGTTGTAGGCAGACAGGCTGATGACGGCGTCGTGCTCCGGGGTCAGCTGCCCCGGGAGCTGGTGGGCTCTCTGGAACACCGGGATTCACATGGATTTAGTCATGGAATGGCTGGGGTTGGAAGGAGCTTAAGGATTATCCAGCTCCCTGTCATGGGCAGGGACACCTTCCACTATCCAGGCTGCTCCCCCCCATCCAACTTGGCCAGGGACACTTCCAGGGATTGGGCCACAGCTTCTCTGGGAAATCCATTCCAGGGGTGTTTTCCCTTTGGGAACAGCTTTCCCTGCCACCCAGGGAGCAGCAGGATGGAGAGCAGCAGCTGGCCCAGGCCTGAGGAGGCTCTGTGAGCCTGGATCTGTCCTGCTGGGCGTAGTCCCAGAGCAGCTGAGCGCTCACCTTGGCGTTGTCGATCAGGTGCAGGATCTCCGTGCGGCTGGAGGGGTTCAGGTATCCCGGGATGGAAGTGAGCTGCCCTAAATACTGGGACAGAAGAGCCAAACCATTACCACAGCATGGACACCATCCTGGACAGGGCAGAATGAGGCACGGAGACGCTCCAAGGAAAACTGGAGATGTGTGAGAGGTGGGAGTGTTCTAAAAGAAGCTCCACAGAAACCTTAGAGTCCTTCCAGTGCCTAAGGAGCTGCAGCAGAGCTGGAGAGGAACTCCGGACAAGGGGGAATGGGTTCCCAGTGCCAGCTGGGATACTGGGAAGGAGTTCCCAAGGGCCCCTGTGGATACCTTGACCTCCTTCTCGATGTAGTCGTGGAGCAGCAGGTCGGGCTCCACGCGGTCGGGCAGTGCCACCACCACGGTGTGCAGCGGCCGCCGCTCCGTCACCTTCTCCTGAGCCTTCTTATCCCGGCCCTTCTCCCCCTTCAGGAACACGCGCTTGAACGGGGACACGATTCCAGGCTGCGAGAGGAACAGCAGCGGCGTGAGGAGGGGGTTTGGCACTGGCACGGGGGCTCCTGCAGCCCCTCCTGCCCGGCGACCCGCAATGCCATCCTGCTGCTTTTGCCCCACGGACAGCGCCCGGTTTGGAGCTATAAATCCATGGATTTCCAGAGAAAACCCTTTTCCTGGGACACAACGCACGTGCTGAGTGTTCCCACTACCAAAACATGGTGGCTTTCCCCCAAAGGCACCATGCTCAACCTTCCAGGTAAGAGAAACACAACTCTTACATACAACAATATATTCCAGGTGAAGAGCGGAGCCAGAGGGATCCTCCATAGTTTTGTACCTGCCTGAGGATCTGATGGGGCAACTCCACAAGGAATGCCAAAAAACAGGCAGGAGTGTTCCATGGAGAGCCCAAACAATGAGAAAATCACACAGAAAGTGGATTTCCCTGGCAAAATGGGAAATTCCAAACCCTGCAGTGCCAGGTTTGGAAAGCCACTGGAGCCAATGCACAGTGGTCCTTGGGCATGGGAATGCCATGTGGATCTCACCAAGCTGGATAAATGACTGGGAACATCCCCAAACTGCTCCAATTCCAGCCCTCCCAGGGGAAGGGGATGTTTGGAGCAGACAGACCCATGGCTGGATCTAGGAACTCCTTGGACATGTGACTCCGATGTCCCATTCCCTGGTGGCCTCTGCTTCCCATGCCTCAGGACAACCACATCCTGGCTTTCCTGATCATCAGGGGCAAGAAAAGGAATGTGGGATCTGAAGGGGTAGAGAACAGGCTTCCAGTGGTGGATTAGTTAATTATAAAGCAAGGAAAAGCTCCTGGGACAATGGGAATTACCAGCTCACAAGAATACACAAGGACACTGGGGACAGCCTGGCCTGGAAAAGCATCCCCTGGAGCAGGGAGACAGAAATGAAGGGATCTCACAGGACAGAGAGGAGGGGAAACAGCTCCCCAGCCCCACCTCAGGAGCAGCAGTGTGGATTTTTGGGAAGCATCCCTACACAGAGCATCCAGGAGAAGGGCCTGACAATCCATGACCAGGATATTCCATCATCCTGCTGGGGCTCTGGAGAGAAGGGAATCCTGGACACAACAGGTCAGTTTACCAAGAACTGAGACTTGGGACTCTCAGACTTTGGGATGTCCCATCTGAAATCCTGCCTGCCAGTGCCTAAGGCAGCAGCTCCACAGGAACCCTTCAGGAACCCAGGGCAGGGCAGGGCAGGGACCGAGGCCGAACCCAGGCACTTCCCCTTTCACCAGGATGCATCCAGACCCACCCCAACCCACAGAAACCCTTCTTCCTCCAGGACGTGGCTGCATCCCGAGGGCTGGGGTGATTCTGTGTCCCCCTGGCTGTCCTGGGCAGGAAGAGGGGACCCCAAAGCCCGGGGGAGGCACCTCGGGCTGTGACGCAGCCTGAAACGGCTCCGGCTTTTGGGGCTCCCCGAGCCCAGCACCCACCTCGTCCTCCATGGGATCCCCCGGAGAGCAGGAGCTCCGTGCAGGGGGGCTGTGGGCGGCAGGGAAGGAGGGAATTGCTCCCCTGCTTTTGGGGTGCCGCAGTCGAGGCGCTCGGGGCCAGGAAGTGCCAGGGCCAGCGCTTCCTCTGTGCCACGTGACAGCCTGAGCTGGGGAGGGACCACGGCGGGGCACGGGCCCGGCCCCTGCACCCCCAAACCCCTGCACACACCCCAACCCTGCATCCTCTGCACCGCCACACCCAGGAGGGAATACCCCCGTGCCAAGGGAGGCTCAGCCCTGCTTTCTCTCCAGGCTCGGAGCTGTTTTGTTCCAACACCCAGCTGGATCCCAGGTGCTGCTGCCAGAGGCTTTCCCCATCCTGAAGATCCCGCAGCCCGCTGAGTCCATGGCTGTACAGCTTCTTCCTGCCCAGGGCAGCTGGGGCTGCCCCTGCATCCCTGGCAGTGCCCAAGCCAGGCTGGGAGCAGCCTGGGACAGTGGGAGTTCACCCAGCACCCCAATTCCTGATCTCCTGACCATCCACGCTCCCCCTGCATCCCACAGCATGGACACTCCAAAATCCACTTCATCCCGAAGAGCAGAGGGGCTCCAGCCCTGCAGCAGCTCCAGGTCCTTGTGCTGCTGGCTCTGGGGCTCTCTGTCTCACCTGAGCACGGGGGCAGAATCCCTTTCCTGCTGCCCAGGCTGGGGACCAGCCCAGGGCACGGGGATGGATATTTGGGATAACAAAGGAATTTCAAGAAGAATTTCCCCCAAAGATGCAACTCCAAGCTCAGCAACTCCATGTTTCAGGAGGGAAATGCTGAAGCAGCTGCTGGGAGGGGCAAATGCAGCAGCCTCAGCTCTCCAGGGCACCCCCGAGCTGGAAAAGCTGGGAATTTCACACCAACAGCTGACTGCACAGGCAATGCCCTCAGGGAAACCCTGCAAGCTCTGGATCCCTGGCCTGGATGGTGGAGTCAGAGCAGCAGGGAAATCACTCCCAGAAAATTCACCTCCTCCCACACGTCTTCCTGGGAATAGGCAGGCTGGGAGCATCCATGCTCACCTGGGGCTCCAGGTGTGACAGCAACCCTGCCAGCCCCGGGCAGGTTCCCATGGCTGGGCAGAATTCCTGATGGAGCCATCCTGCCTCCCAGAACGCGTGGGAGATGGTGTTTCATCCCAGGACAGCTCCCCCTTCCCACTGGGACAGCCACAGGGACAGCCAGGGAAGGTGAGCTCCTGGAAGGAATTCCAGTTTAAACCAGTTCAGATTTTATCCAAAGCTGGACACGGCCCCAAAGCCAGCCTGGGATTTTCCTCCTCATCCCAACCCAAGCTGCCCTGAACTGCCTTTGGATCAGCACTGAGGGAACTCAACGCCTTCACCTCAGCTCAGAGTGCTGCTGGGACGATCCACAGGATGGGAAAAGCAGGAAGAAGAGCTCTCCCTGCAGCTGGAACCCCTGAGCAACACGAGGATGGATCTTCCTGTCTCCGTAGCCAAACTGTCCAGGTGCAATGGTGATCCACAGGCAGCAGCTCCAAGGGAATCCATGGAAATCCATGGAAAACTCGCTCCAAGGAAGCTCCCCAGGGCCATGGAGGAGCTGAGGAGAGGCCAGGGGCACTGCCAGGGCTCCAGAGGGACTGGGACAGGACAGGAGTGGCACCAGCCTGGGAAAGGGCCCGAGGAGCCTTTGGGGACCAGAGGGGAGCCAGGTGGCATTATCCAGGTGGGATTATCCAGCTGGGACTGTCCAGGTGGGATTATCCAGGTAGGATTATCCAGGTGGGATAACAGGGCTAGGGGCACCAGCCCAACGTGTTCCTGGGGAAGGGAGGAGGGAAGGATCCAGACTCTTCCCAGTGCCAGCAAAGGCAGTGGGGTGTCCCAGGGAGCAGTGAGACGCCTGGGCTGTGCCCAAACCCCCTGAGCCCTGGCAGCTCTTCCTTCCCAAGGGCAGGACCATCCTGTCTCCAGGTGAAAAATTCCTCAGGGTCACCTGATGGCAGCGCGGGGGTTTCACTCCCAAACCTGTCTGTCTGGGGAGCCTGGAGGGCAACTCCCAAAAAATCCCACTCAACGTCACTCATTCAGCCCCAGGAACCTGCCGCCACCTCCGGGCTCCCTGCGAGGCCAGGGGCTCCCAAAATCTCCGATTTGCCCCCAGATCTGGGATCAGATCCATCCTCCGGCCCCAGGCGTGCAGAGCAGCCCTGGCTGAGCCTCTCCCGAGGACACAGAAACGGGCTGAAAGGAGGGAAATCAGGGCACCACGGGCACGGCTGCAGCTGCTGAGCCCCGGAGACACGACAGAGGCATAAATTAATAGCTGCGTGAATTAAATTAATTCGCGTCAGTAATAACTTAAATAAATTAGCAAACTCATAAGCTAGTCGCTCCATAACTAATACCCCCATCACGTAATAACCTTCTCCAGGCCCTCAGTCACGGCACGAGGGTCCGGCCTGGGGGCTCTGGGGCAGGGGATGCGGGCAGGCTGTCCCGGGAAGCGGCAGCCGGTGCCTCCCGGGAAGGGGCTCCGGCCCAGCCCCGGGAGGGGTCCGGGCACGCCCGGGGGGCTCCGGCCCGCCCGGGCTCAGCCGCAGCGCCACCCCGGCTGCCCCTCTGCCGCGGGCCCCCGCTCTCACCTTCTTGCCCTTCTTGCCCTCCTCCTCCATGGCTCCGGCGGCGGCCCGGGCCCCCCCCGGGGCATCCCGGCCCGGGTGAGCGGCGGGGCCTCAACGCGCGGCGGCGGCGGCCATGGCCCGCCCTGTTCCCGCTCCAGCCCCGCCTGCCGGTCGCGATCCCGATCCCGCTCCCGGTCCCTGTCCCTCTCCCGGTCCCGGTCCCGGCGCCGCCTCAGCGCCCGCGGCTGGGTCCCGCCGCCATCTTGGGCGGCGCCTTCCCGTGACGTCATCGCTCCGCCGCCGGGGGGGGAGACGAGCACAGTGCGCCTGCGCCAAACGGTGGGCACAACGAGCCACGCCCACACAAAAACCACGCCCTTCTGCTGTGAACTTAGCTGACCACGCCCAACACTGAGACCACGCCCACATCCCAGCCTTCATTGTGATGTCATATTGCGACCACACACACTGCCTCAGACCACGCCCCTGTCCCCGCCCCCATGCGTTGATCCCGCCTCCCCCCGCATGGCCATAACGTCATCACGAGGCGCCGCTCTCTCAGCCATGGCCGCCGCAGCAGCAGGTGAGGGGGCATGGCGGCCCGTGCGCATCCGCCGCCATCCGCGGCCCCCCGCCGCCAGACCCCCCTCCGCGGGCCGCGGCACCTCCGATGGCTCCCGGGGCCGCGCGGGGTGCGGCGCTTCCCGCCCGCCGGGCCCCGCCGCGGTGGTGAGGGGCCGCGGGGCGCGGCGCGTTCTGGGCAGGGCTGCCGGGGCTGCCGTGGGGCGTCCCGGGGACTCGAGGCTCCCTCGGGAGCGGCTTCCCGCCGCAGGCTCCAGCATGGGGGGGCCTGGCGTGGCCCCTGCCATTCCTGTAGCGCTGCCAGAGCATCCCGGGGCCGTTTGAGGCCGCTCCCGGCGCTTCCCGGGGGCGGTCATAGAACCCCCGGACATGCCCGGGCTGGTGGGACCTGGGGGGCTGCGGGGGCCCGAAACCCCCGCGCGGGGCTCGGCGCGGTGGGGCCGGTGACATTCCTGCCCTTCTCCATTCCAGGCTCCTGCTCCGAGCATCCAGAGGGATTCAGGAAGCCGCCGGGAAGAAGGAAGTGGATCCAAGGGACCTAGCACCGTAATTAGCCCAGTTTTGGTTAATTAAGGCTACCAAGGCCTCAGCCCCTCGTCTCCCAGGGCTGAAATTCCACGGGAATGCCGTGACAGACACGGAGCTCCATCCTGGCAGGAGTTACTTGTCCACCGCTGCCCAGGTGAGGGGCAGCCCCGGCTCTGCCCGGGGGGGTCCGCAGGGCTGGAATGCCGCGGGAACGTCGGGCAGTTCGCTCCTGGGAGCCTGCCAGGCCCTGGGGTCACCGTGGGCTGCAGGGCCACGTTCCTGGGCTGTCCCCGTGTCACCCCGGCTCCAGCAGGGCGCTCCTGCAGTGACACCGAGCTGCCGGTGCCTCCCGGGGCTCCTGCGGGGCCCGGGATCCGCCGTGCCCGGGTGCCCCTGGCCCTTCCCGCCGCAGGCTCCAGCGTGGGGGGGCCTGGCGTGGCTCCCACCATTCCTGCAGCGCTGCCAGAGCATCCCGGGGCCGTTTGAGGCCGCTCCCGGCACCTCCCGGGGGTGGTTATGGAAACCCCGGACATCCCCGGGGGGTCATGGACATGCTGGACATCCTGGGGGGGTCATGGACATTCTGGACATCCTGGGGTGGTTATGGAAACCCTGGACATCCCGGGGTGGTCATGGACATCTGGACACCTCGAGGGCGGTTATGGACACCCCAAACATCCCGGGGTGGTCATGGACACCCTGGACATCCCGGGGTGGTTTTGGACATCCCGGCCATCCCGGGGTGGTTATGGAAACCCTGGACATCCTGGGGGTGGTCATGGACACCCCAAACATCCCGGGGTGGTTATGGACACCTGGACATCCTGGGGTGGTTTTGGACATCCGGCCATCCCGGGGTGGTCATGGACACCCTGGACATCCCGGGGTGGTCGTGGACATCTCAGGATGGTTATGGACATCCTGGAGTGGTCATGGACACCCTGGACATCCTGGGGGTGGTCATGGACACCCCAAACATTCCGGGGTGGTTATGGACACCTGGACATCCTGGGGGCAGTTCTGGACATCCTGGGGTGGTCATGGACATCTGGACACCCCGAGGGCAGTTATGGACACCCCAAACATCCCGGGGTGGTCATGGACACCCTGGACATCCCAGGGTGGGCGTGGACATCTCAGGATGGTTATGGACATCCCGGGGTGGTCGTGGACATCCCGGCCATCTCAGGCCCGCTGGGATTTGGTGACAGTGGTGGGGGCCAGGGGCAGCAGGGCCGGTGACATTCCTGCCTTTCCCATTCCAGGTTCCCTGTGAGGTGCTCCAGATGGATTGAGGAAGCGGGTGGAAGGCTGTTGTCGCCGTAATTGACGCTGTAATTAGCGCCGCTCTGGTTAACGAGCAGCAGGAGGTGCATGCTGGGTGTCACCTGCCCTTCCTGGCCGTGCCCTTGTCCCTCAGGGCCGGAGCAGCGGGCAGGCTCCCTGTGGAAGCGCCAGGAGGAGTGGGCGACACCAGAGTCGGAATTAAACATGAGCCCGTACTTCTAACGTGCTTTGGCTCCGAAGCTTTTTCATTTTCTGTTTCTGGTAGAAGGATAAAAACAGGGATTCGGTGGGGGAAGGGGATGCTCCAGGTGCTGCAGCTGAGGTTCCCCAGGGGAGCAGGAGCCACGCCGTGTCCCCAGGGTCACCTGGGCGCGCTGTCCCCGTGTCCCAGGCTCCGATGGCCCCAGTACCAGCGTCCCAGATCCTGGTGTCCCTTGTCCCTGAGCTCACATCCCGTGTCCCTGGTGCCTGGCTGGGTGGCTGCTGGGCCGGGACAGGGACACGGGACAGGGACAGGGACACGCTGGCTGCGAGGTGGAGCACAGCTCCCAGCTGGGAGCCATGCTCCTGCTGGGATCCTGGGAGCTGCTGAGGAGCTGCTGGTGTACCCGAACCCATCGAATAGCTCTGCTAACGGCTCAAACAATTAATGAATGCATCGGTTAATTGACGGAGCAGGTAGTTATGTTAACGTGTTAAATGCATTACTGGAATATTGTAGGATAAACTGTTCCTGTGGTTGATCCGTGTTGTCGGAACAGCCCTGGGGCAGAACGAGGTGTGCCCGGGACCACCGAGGCTTCCTGGAGCCCCAAATACCCAGCAGGACTCTGGGGGGCCGCGGGAGGCGGGGAGAAGGGTAATTAACGGGGTCATTAATTACAGCACTCCTGTAGGGGAGCCTTGAAAGGGCTGGGGAGGGGCTGGGCGTGGCCAGTTACCATAGCAACCACCCCGCCTTCGGGGCGGGGCTTCTCCCTTACAACATCCAATCAGCGGGTGAGGCGTCCCCATGGCAACGGCGCTTGTCCCGCCCCGTGTGGGCGTGGCCGCGCGATCACCTCTTTGTAGGGGTGGGGCGTCGCCCTGGGAACGGGGCCGGAAGTGTCGCGCGGACTCGGTGTCCCGTGAGCCCCCGCGCGCGGTTCCGGCGGGCCGGGCCGTGCCGGGATCGGGCCGGGATCGGGCCGGGCCGTGCCGGGATGGAGGCCGTGCCCCGCATGCCCATGATCTGGCTCGACCTCAAGGAGGCCGGGGAGTTCGCCTTCAACGCCGCCGTCAAGAAGGTGGGGCCGGGCTCGGGCCGGCGGGGCCTGGGCGGGCCGGGGGTTTGGAGGGGCGGGAGCGCCCTGCCCGGGGCCGCCGCCGTGTCCCTGCCGCCCCCGCGGGGCCCGGGTAATTAGTCACTTCATTAGCGGCGGCAAACACGCTCCGCCCCGGCCGGCGCTTCCCGGGCCGCCGAATTCACGGATGGGGAGCACCGGGGGCTCCCCAGCCTTGTGTCGCTCCCCCCGCGGCTTTGCGGGGCGCACGGGCGGTCCCCGGCAGTGTCCCCAGCATGCCGCACCTTGGGGCCGGGGCACCTTCTCTGTGCCACAAATCCCTTTTCCAGCCTCAGCCATCCCCGATCCCGTTCCCCGATCCCGTTCCCCGAGCCGTCCGTGGGTGTCAAACTCCCCGCTGCCCGGTGTCCCCGGTGCCCCCGCTGCCCGGTGTCCCCGGTGTCCCCGCTGCCCGGTGTCCCCGGTGCCCCCGCTGCCCGGCAGGGCCTCGGGGCCGCTCACCCTCTCCCGTCTCCCAGTTTGTCCTGAAGAACTATGGGGAGAACCCGGAGAGCTACAACGAGGAGCTGCGGAAGCTGGAGCTGCTCCGGCAGGTGAGGGGGCCCCGGGGCAGCCGGGGCTCTGCCGTGCTCCTGTCCCCTGCTGTGGCACACGGAGCAGCCCGTGGATGATCCCGGCGATCCACGGGCTGGGAGCTGCGGGCTGGGGGGAGCAGGGACAGCTCCTGTGCTGCCCCAGGGTCCCCCAAGCCCGGGGGGCCCGGCCAGCCCAGCCCAGCGCTGGGATTCCTCCTGAGCAGGAGGGCAGGAAGCCTTCCCAGGTGTCCCCAGAGCCTGTCCCCTCCCGTCCCGTTCCCAGAGCGCCGTCAGCGTGCCCAGGGACTTCGAGGGCTGCAGCACCTTGCGCAAGTACCTGGGGCAGCTGCATTTCCTGCAGAGCCGCATCCCCATGGGCCACGGCCAGGAGGCAGCCGTGCCCGTCACCTGGTGAGGGACGGGGTGGGATGGGGTGGGATGGGATGGGATAGGATGGGGGATCCAGGATTTGGTATCTGGGATGGGATGGGATAGGATGGGGGATCCAGGATACGATGGGGTATTTGGGATGGAGGGCTGGGATGGGGGATCCAGGATGGGAGCTCCTGTGATGGGATGGGGGATCCGGGATGGGGGATCCGGGATGGGGGATCCAGGATGGGGGATATGGGATGGGATGGGATGGGATAGGATGGGCGATCCAGGATACGATGGGGTATCTGGGATGGGGGGCTGAGCCAGGCAGGGTGTGGCTGTGCCCATCCTCTGAGGAGGAGCTGCTCCAGGAACCCCCTGGGGAATGTGGTCCTGCCCGGGGTGACATTCGGGATGGGGGATCCAGGATGGGGGATATGGGATGGGATGGGATGGGATAGGATGGGCGATCCAGGATACGATGGGGTATCTGGGATGGGGGGCTGAGCCAGGCAGGGTGTGGCTGTGCCCATCCTCTGAGGAGGAGCTGCTCCAGGAACCCCCTGGGGAATGTGGTCCTGCCCGGGGTGACATTGGGGGATCCCAGGAACCCCTTGGGGAGGACAGTGTCCTGCCTGGGGTGGCACAGGGGGATCCCAGGGGGAATGGGGTCCTGCAGAGGGGAGACCCAGGGACCCTTGGGGAATGGGGTTCCCAGTAATTCCTGCTCCTGGGAGAATCCCTGGTTGCTCCCTGTCCTGTGCCCCCTTCCCCCAGGACTGAGATCTTCTCGGGCAAGGCGGTGACACACGAGGACATCAAGTACGAGCAGGCCTGTGTCCTCTACAACCTGGGTGAGCTCCCTGACTCCAGCAGCCCTGGGGCTCCCTGGCCCAAGCCCCCGTTCCCAGGGGTGTTGGGGTGTCCCTGCCCCGCTGAGCCCCCGCCTGTCCCCACAGGAGCTCTGCATTCCATGCTGGGAGCCATGGACAAGCGCATGTCCGAGGAGGTAACGGCCCCAGCTCTGCCAGCTCTGTCCCTCTGGGCACTGCCAGCCGGGTGTGACAGGCCAGGGACTGTCCCTGTGCTGGGCACTGGCTGAACCTGGAACCTGTGGGGTTTGGGGTGTCCAGGACAGGACATGGAGGGGCTGGAGCAGAGCTGGGGAAGGGGGGAGCACCAGGGGGGACTCAGGAGGAACCCTGGGGACAGCAGGGGGTCAGGCTCTGCTCCCAGGGAACAGGACAAGAGGGAATGGCCTCAAGGGGAGGCTCAGGTGGGATATTGGGAATGCTCCTCCTGGAAAGGGCTCTCCAGCCCTGGCACAGCTGCCCAGGGCAGGGCTGGAGTCCCCATCTCTGCAGGGATTGAAAATCCCTGTGGATGTGGCACTTGGGGACATGGTCAGGGGTGGCCTTGGCTGTGCTGGGGGCTGGGTGGACTCCATGATCTGGGAAGTCTTTTCCAAACCCAACAATTCCATCCCCTCAGGGCATGAAGGTTTCCTGCACCCACTTCCAGTGTGCTGCTGGTGCCTTCACCTACCTGCGGGACCACTTCCCACATTCCTACAGCGTGGACATGAGCCACCAGATCCTCAGCCTCAACATCAACCTCATGCTGGTAGGGACTGGGGGCACGGGGACTCCTCCAGTGTGTCCATGGGGTTTGTGTTCCCTGTGCATCCAAGGGCACAGGACCCCAGTGTCCCCCAGGGGTTCTCTCTGGGGTCTGGGCTCTCTCCCAGGGTGGGGGGGATGGAGGTTTGGGAGGCACTGGGGGATCAGGGAAGGCTCAGTGCCATTCCTGGGCTCTCCCAGCACCCTCAGGGCTGATATTCCCTGTGCCACATCCACCCCTTGGGAAAGGGGCTGGAGCCAGTGGGTCCTGCCAGGGGTCTGGGCTGTCCCAAGGACTGGGGATGCTGACATTCCTCTCTTGTCCATGGCAGGGCCAGGCACAGGAGTGTCTCCTGGAGAAGTCCATGCTGGACAACAGGAAAAGCTTCCTTGTGGCCCGGATCAGTGCCCAGGTGAGCTCCAGGAGCTGCTCCCAGCACAGCCCTGCTCTGGGATCAGGAGCTGGAGAGGGACTTCGGGCAAGGGCCTGCAGTGACAGGACACAGGGAAAGGGAGGTGTGGGGGGAGTATTGGGAGGGAATTTGTGTCTGTGAGGTGGGTGAGGCACTGGGATGGAATTCCCAGAGCAGCTGTGGCTGCCCCTGGGTTCCTGAAAGTGCCCAAGGCCAGGCTGGATGGGGCTTGGAGCAGCCTGGGCTGGTGACAGTCCCTGGCTGTGGTCCCAAACACATCCCTGAGTTCCCCCAACCATTCCTCTGTGTGATCTGAGTCCTTGGGCTGGTGCTGGTGATTCCCTTCCCTGCCCTGGTTCCCCTGGGATCTGGAATTGTGGAATTCTCCCCTGTCCCTCTCCACAGGTGGTGGATTACTACAAGGAGGCCTGCCGGGCCCTGGAGAACTCAGAGACAGCCTCCCTGCTGGGCAAGATCCAGAAGGATTGGAAGAAGCTGGTCCAAATGAAAATCTATTATTTTGCTGCCGTGGCCCACGTGAGTGAGGGGGAGCTGGGGCTGGGGGGCTCTGCCTGTGCTCCCATCCCACCTCGGGATGCTCCTGCCAGCTCTGGAGCAGCCCTGGCTGCTCCCTGGGGTTTTCCTCCCCCTGTCAAAGCTCTCCCTGGAGTTACAGAGCTCTGACCCCTGTTTTCTTCCAGCTGCACATGGGGAAGCAGGCCGAGGAGCAGCAGAAATTTGGGGAGAGGGTAAGTGGGGCCGTGTCATCCCATTTCATCCTCTTCAGCCTCTGGATCGGGGTCCTGGGAAGGGCTTGTGTCCTGGAAGAGGCTGGGTACCCCAGCCGTGTCCTGGGTGCCCTGGGAGGGCCCTGGGGGGCTCTGGCCCTGGTGTCCCTGTGCAGAGCAGGGCAGTGCCCCCGGGCCGACCCCAGCCCCGCTCTCCTGCAGGTCATCT